ACCCCGGCGTTGCCCGGGGATGTAACAATAAGAGATAGATCAAGTATCGACCATCTTAAAGACTGAAAAATAAAATTGACAAAGATTATTGTTTAAGGTTGATGGACACGCATGTCTTAATTAGTTTTTTTTTGTTTGTTTTTCTACGAATTGGTCAAACCCAAACTCAAACAAAAACATTGTTTTCAATCGTTATGAGTCTACCGATTGAATATAATTTTATTATAAACAATTGTCTTGTAAATGGAATTTTTAAAGCATTCTGAATGTAAAAATAAAGAAGAAAGTGTGCAATACAATAAGAAACACTACCTGCCAAAAAAAAAGTTAAGTTTTGTTGAAATTGGTTGAAAAATGTAGGAAATCCGATCCCATATATAAACGAACACACACACAACCTGGGTTTTATAATAAGTATAACTCGATATGAGTTGTTCCCCTTTCATTCTCGCGATATCGATGCCTCTTAATCGTGTTTTCAAATTGATTTCGTGCAAAAACAATTGTGTTTTTCAAATTTTTGGTGCTGTCAGAACCACCGCAAGGTAATTTTATGTAGTCCTGTGAAGTTTTGTCGAAATCGGTTGAAAAATGTAGGAAATCCGATCCAATATATAAACGAACAGACACACACACACACACACAACCAGGGTTTTATAATATGTATGATTACCTGATGAAAATTGAGATGTATTAGCGTGGTGGGGGTCCCGTATCATAAATTGGTGGGTTTATCTTAGATGAGACCTTTGCACCGGCCCTAACTCCGTATATCCTTTTTCGAGTATATATCTCACGAATTATATATTCTAATTTTGCATAATAATCTGTCAGTGTTTCAATAACAAACTTGTAGCAACATGTATGAGGTGGTATGGGAAAGTTTCATAAAATTTTACGCGCTCTAAATGTACCGATCAGCATAAATGAGTCCACTGCCAACGTCCATTGTTGCTCAGTCGATTGAATCAGTCTGCCATTACACTCCAAGATAGAGACTCGTGTTCAGCTATTTGCAACGTTGCGTTGAAAATGGTCCTGCAATATTTATTTGTCACATTCCAACAGCCTGCCTACATTGAAAGTTATGTAAAGCTCAACAAATCTGTTAGCACGACCCTTGAAATGTTTCATCATTTTATAGAGCACTCATTACAGTTGAAGAGGATGTGGGTACTACTAAGTATATTTACCCACTGAGAAAACAAAAAGGTATTAGAGATAAAAGCTCATCAGGAGAGACCCAGATCCAGATCCAAGGCCTTCTTACTCACTTCTTTGGCGAAACCCCTCCCTGACTGACCGTGTCTTCAGGAGTGTAGCCGTACTCACCACGCTTAGCTAATTGCAAATTGGTGTGCTTGGAGGTTTGGAATTCAGGCTATTCAAGGCTATAGGCTATTTCGGAGAATGTAGAGCTGGATCCATACCTTTCCCAATGGTATTTGCTCGTAAGCTACTATAAGGAACTCGACTGGAATTCGAACTCAGTGTGAGCCGCCATCCTTTACTCTCACTGAGAAGGGATTAAATAAAACTTAAACGTTAAACTCTAATTTCATGAAATAAATTTCTTTTTTTCTTGATATATGCTACATTTTTAAGAATTTGCACTGAGGAGAATAGAATGGGAAGCTTGTAAAAGGAAAAAACATGCTTACCTTAACACTCAACATTTGCACGTAAGTGACTGCAAGGAACCTGATTTGAATTCGAACTGAGCCGCTATCCATTAGTCTACCGAACTTCCTAAGGGATGAAATAAAACAATCCGACATTAAAGTCTAATTTCATGAAATAGATTTCCTTTTTTCTTCATATATGCTATGCACTGAAGAGAATAGAATGGGAAGCTTGTAAAAGGAAAAAAGCATTCTTGCCTGAAAAATCAACATTTAAAACTTATTTATCTTTTTATCTTGGTTTTTGCAGCTCGCATTATATCTTCTAAAAAGGTAAAAGATTTCTTATCCGAAACGACTTGGAGAAAATTATAGTGGAACGGTTCTGCAACCTTTACGATTGACGACAAATTGTTCCGTCACGCTTCTGTCAAACATTCATTACTTTTGTTATAGCATGCAATGTGTTGAGAAACGGAAAAATTCATTAGAAACTAAGAAAAGAGTTCTGGGTCTCTATGTAATATCCATCTTATATAGCAGTGAATATCGGACAATTTCCATACGGATTGTGAAAAAACAGAATTGTGGTTCTACAGAAGGTTACTGAGAATTTCATGGACATAGCATGTAAGGAACGAGGAAGTCTTAAAGAAAATGACAGCAGAAAGAACACTTCTACTCAGAATCAGGAAAAGAAATTCTTTGGGCACAAAATGATGAATTCACAATCATTACTTGGTGAAAAAGCAATAGAAATCAGAAGAAAGAAATACGAAACGAAAATTAATAAGAATTGACAAGGCTTCAGCTAAGAAATTCAGTCAATTCTTCATCTCATAAATTCTGACAAAACATATTCACATAACTCAAGAAAATTATTACTTTGAATAAAAAAGAGAAATAAGATGAAAAAAATACTAAATAAAAATTGACAAGGCTTCAGCTAAAAATTCAATCAATTCTTCATCTCATACTTATGAGATGAAGAATTGATTGAATTTTTTAGACAAGATTCACACAGCTCAAGACAATTATTACTTCGTGTAAAAACGAGAAGTACGTTGAAAGACAAAAATTATTTAGAATTCATGAATGAAAAGAATAAATATGACAATATTAAATATCATTATTTTAAATATAAAATAACACTTTGAATATTAGAAAATCGATTCTACGATTGTGCAGTTTTGCCAATTAAGAAATGATGGAATTTAAAGTTGTGTTGGCTTCTTGTAGGCGTGTACGTGTTCACATATAATTGCAATTAAAGTAACAACAAAATTTATACTATGGACCGTATTTCTTTATTTATCGTAGAAACTGTCGTGAAACAAAGTTCTCAATGGCTCCTGGTTATGTCCGTTTTCTTTTTCTGGTTCAGAAGTAAATTAGGGGTAGTAAGGATAAGAATGATTATGATGCTCGACCTTGAATCAGCCATGCGCTGAGTTGAAACGACCAAGGTAAAAATTGTTTTACTTCATTGGCGGGGGTCCGACAAACACGTCCGAAAGCGTTAGAAAGTGGAAAGTGAGTTCAAGTCGCTTGTCGACCGAGGAAAACAGACGTTTCCCAGCGGGGACGTTTTCATCCGTCTCATTCTAGATCTTGGAGCACGGGGAGAGAAAGTGAGAAAATGGAGGAAATATTTGTCTTTTTTTTTATATTACATAAACAGCGCCTCCTACGGGCGTTTAGCGAAGCCTAGTAGGATAATAAAATTTACGCGCCCTTTATTTTATTACTAACATCATGGAAAATGTATTTCTTTTTCTTTTTAATTTTATTATTAATAATATTATTAGTACTAGTAGTAGTAGTAGTAGCAGCAACAGTATTGTTATTATTAGTATTATTAGTAGTAGTATTAGTAGCATTAATAGTGTTAGTAATATTATTAATAGTATTATTGTTATTAGTATTATTATTTTGTACTGTATAAAGCAGAGTTCGGCAACGTTTTAGAGAGAGTGGTCCAGAGAGCTATGCAGTGTCACGGGGGAGGGCCATGGTATCAAATGTAATATAATAAATTGTTTTTTGTTTGTTTGTTTTTTTAAAGCGTTTCACCCCAAGCAAGGCGGGAAGCCACTAGGACGCAAGGGGTTACAGAAAATTTGGAGCAAGATCAGATAGGAGTGATAGAGGAAAGGATGAGGAGAAGGATAGTGGATAGATCAAGGCAACTGGAGATATCGATTGACATTACACTTGAATAGCTGGAGATTATAGCTCTCAGGGAAACTGGAATAGGGAAGGGAGTTCCACGGGCGAGACGTGCGAGACATGAAGCTATTGGAGTAGAAGAGACGGCTACATTTAATAGTTTCGACAGTGAAAGGGTGAGTAGGGCACTTGAATTCATGAAGTCTGGGAACTAGCGAATGCAGCTCCTCTGAGCAATTGCCATGAAAGTATTTGTAAAACAGACAGAGAGAGGCGACGGTGCGTCTGTGGGAAAGTGACTGTAGATGAGATGCCAGATCAGGGCCAATTATATTGCATATCCGCCTCTGGAGCCTATCAAGAATCCCGAGGCAAACAGAAGGGGCTCCAGACCATACTCCATGCAAGGGTGAATTGTTGATTTGTTGATCTGGAGGATCGATTCCGGGGAGAAAAAATTCCTGGCGCGGCACAGGGAGCCAACTTTCCTTGCGGTGGACGAAGCAATTGACTCAAAGTATTTGTTCCATCTCAGGTGAGCAGTCAACGTGAGACCGAGAAGCCGCAGGGAGTTGCTCTCGAGAAGTTGAGCGTCAGACATTCTAATGTAAGGCAGGGAAGGATCTCTGTGGTGATTAATGGAGTAACTTCAGACCACTCCATTCAGAAGGCTACTTTGGTCTGTAGGTTTAAAGAAAAATCAATGAAGTTAATGTTATGTTATTTAAACAAGGTTCTTTGTTTTACTTCAGAGATAACAAGGCAATAACACAATTAACACAAATTGCAAATTCTCTACTGCAAACGATATACAGTTAAAAATGGCGAAATATTTAATGAAACACATGTTTCTGCTTATTGTCCAATAACTTCTGCACATCAAGGAGAATCAATTCTATCTTATATTTTTCAATTGGCAAAATGTTTGTCTGTAGTAGATTCGGAATTAAATTTTGATTTAAAAAATTGTAAGTCAATTAACTCCAACTGATATTTTTCCTACCACTTGCTCCACTAATATGTCCAGGTGTTAAGTTGGCAGGCCAGACAAAAAAAAAACATTCGCGGGCCAAATGTGACCCGGCGGTCGGGAATTGCCGACCCCTGGTATAAAGCATTATCTTTCTCAATGAGTAAAACATTTTGATTACAATATAGTAATGTACATGTTTACAACTTTATTCTGTTCTCTTTGTTTTTTCTTTTTAGATTTTGTATGTATCCACAAGACATCGTTCTTCAACTCAATGGACGAGCCAGAATCAAGAAGATACAAATTCTCTCTCATCAATACCTGATCAGTAAGTTTTAAAATTAAACCATATAATTTTTAACCCATTGTAACCAAGAGATCACAGTAACAATATCAATCTAGATTAATATACCATCAGATTAACATTACTATCATAATCCCATGCGTTACTCAGACACATCTATACATTTTTCATCAATATGATTCGGCCGATATGTTCTCCGGTCTTCCTAGTGTCGTCTGAAATTCAAATCTATACTTTATCATTATTCCAAAAGTTATTCAAGCTAAGACAAATCGTTTACGTAGTCTTGTGGTCAATGACTTATCTTCCACTCTGCAACCTCTTTCCGACAGTCGTAAAGTTACAAATTCTATATTCTATTGCTATTTCTATGGTATGTCTTCAAACGAGGTCCATTCTTTAGTACCACCATTCAGACCTTTACAGATGGGACCCGCCTTGCTATTTCCACATTGTCGAAACACCCTCATTCCAACCAGGGAATTTTTTCTAAGAACTCCTGCGTGGATGCTTCCCTCACATTACAAGTCAAGGGTCAATAGTCATCTTTCCCTTTCATCCACGTAATCTTCATTTCTTAACATCTTCTCTTCCATTCCTGCTACAAAACTCATTCAGAATTACCATTTTGCTTACTCTAACTTTAGTGCCTCTCGAGGTTTGTATTGAATCGTAAGAATGTCGTTTTTTGACGTAGAAAAGTACGTCAAAAAACGACATCATTACGTCATTATTTTTGCACCAACCTAGTATCTATAAAAGGCAGGATGTGTGCGTGTGTGTGTGTGTGTGTGTGTGTGTGTGTGTGTGTGTGTGTGTGTGTGTGTGTGTAACGAATGCACGGCCGCAGTTTTCGACGGATTTGCACCAAAATTTACATGCACATGCTCCAAGTTAGTGAAAAGGCCAAGACCGACTTTGCATTTCCCAACTCTCATCGATAGTGGAAATAAACGATTTTTCATGCTTCTACGGCAGTTTTCATGTAGTTTGTGGCCATTTTCTACTGGCCAGAGTAAGAGCCTATAGCTGGCTGCCACGAATAGGCAGGAAGATTCTATTGGCCAGTGTGACAGCCAACAGCTGACTGACACGAATGTTAACTAGCATGCTAGCATGCAAAAAAAATCGATAGCAGCATTCGTCACAAGTGGGAAAAATTTAAATCTACATGTCACTTTACTCCAATTGGCTCTTTCGCTTGCTTCAACTCAACGTTGATTCTGATTCCGCAGATCTGGGTTGGGTGTGAAAAAGTATTTGTTGCTAACATTCTTTTTTTCATTCGGTTTTTCCAGTTACGAGTCCTTTTTTAAAGCTGATCGTTTTGTGTTCATTTTGTTTAGTTCTTTTTTCGTAACAGATTTAATGTTTAGTATAGAGCTTAGAAAAAATTCGCAGTGTGAGATAGGCAAGAAATAAGGCATGTAGCAACATCAGCACGGCAAAGAGCACTCCTTTAAAGGCAAGGAAGGGTAAAAATATTTTAAGTCAAGTGATAGCGATTGCTGTATGAGTCGTACGATTTTTGAATCAAGCACGGGCAGCGCCGGGCCATGCTGCTAGTTAGTATATAAAATTGTTTTTATTTTTATTTCTGATGTAATTACTTTTCAGCCAATATATCTGAATTTCTGGAATAAAATCCCAGTCATAGAAACGTTCTGGGAGATCTGATTAAAGAGAGAAAACCTCCTTAAAAATGTTTGTTCGGAACTAAATGACCATTATATAGGAGACAGTGTGCCATAAAAGCTTATTCAGAATCAAAACATTGTAGATGTGACTAATAACGATGGGAATCTACTTTAAAATCCTTGTTTGGCTCGAAATGACCATTATATAGGAGTCAGTGTGCCATAAAAGCATATTCAGGAACAGGTGTTTCTGCTATGAATTTAGATATTCTAGATAAAATGCAAAGAAGAATCTGCAATGTTATTAGTCCTGATCAGGCATCTCGGCTTCAGTGTTTTTCCCACCACCGTAATGTAGTTTCTCTGTGCCTTTTCTATAATACTTCGTTGTAATTGTTCTGATGAGCATTGCTCTATGGTAGCTAGACTTTATGAATTTAAACGCTGTACTAGAATGGCAACAAGGTCTCATTATATTAGAGTTGAAATGGCGAGACGTAACCGTAAGTTCTATGTTGACAGTTTCTTCTCTCGCACTTCTCGCTTGTGGGACTCTCTTCCGGTTTCTTGCTTCCCAGTTAACTTTGATCTTCAAAAGTTTTAAATATAATGTCAATCATTATCTTTTTTCTTCTTAATTCCTTCTCTCTCCCTTGCTCTCTCTGTTTTCTTTTTCTTCTTATAATCTCTCACGCTCAATAATCCCTTGCGTCTTAGTGGCTTTATTGCATTGAAAGGATGCCAAAAATAGATGTGATTAAAACTATAATCTAATAAAAATTCTTGTTTGGTACTACATGACCATTATATAGAAATCAGTGTGCCATAAACCTATTTTCTGAATCAGAACATTGGAAATATGAACATAGACAAAGAATGCTAGTACGTGATGTATAGGCATCAATACGCCATAGAATTAAATACATGATATTCAAGCCAAGCCTCGAATTCATTCTTTCAAATCTAGATATATTTGCATTCTTCAAATAGAAGGCTGAAAAGAAGGTAGAATTAATTACCAAACATTGATTTTGTTTGGAATCGTGTCACAAAATAATCGTATTTATTAACATTTTTTTTTTCTAACGGCCTCGAATATTTGTGCAGTCAGCTTGGATCAAGTAACAATAACTAATCTCTGATACAGACACCTGCTCAAGCACATTTGAGTTTGCGCCAACACAAGCATCGACGGCTTCCAAACAGATCCATTTAACCAATGTCAGAATATGTTAAATGCCATCCATACAAGTTTTGTTTTCTTTTTTTTTTCCGTTCCAGGATTCTACTTATAGTCCATCTACATAGTAAATTTCTTTCCTAGGTTCAAAACTGCTAAGAATGATCACCATTCCGTACTGAGATAAACCGACCCTGAACCCGTTTATACGGGTTCAATGGGTATATTTTTGCCCGATCCCACACGCTCGGAGATCCCACGTTAAACCGGCCTTGTGTCACATGATGCCCACGGGGTGGGGCGGGGGGTAGACTAAATATAGTCAGTCGTTCAAGTCCTGACCGGCTGATCGGTTGAACTCTCTGCCTTCGGGCGGAGAGGAACCCGAAAGAGGCTACGCCAAAGGGCGGATTCTCTTTTCGGGAGGTAAACCGACCCTGAACCCGTTTATATGGGTTCAATGGGTATATTTTTGGACCGCGCCCACGGGCTCGGAGATCCCACATTAAATAACCGGCCTTGTGCCACATGATGCCCCAGTGGGGGGGGTGACTGAATATCGTCAGTCGTTCAAGTCGATCTCGGTCGACCGGTTGATCGGTTGAACTCTCTGCCTTCGGGCGGGGAGGAACCCGAAATAGGCTACGCCGAAGGGCGGATTCTCTTTCGGGGAGGTAAACCGACCCTGAACCCGTTTATACGGGTTCAATGGGCATATTTTAGGCCGAGCCTACGGGCTCGGAGATCCCACGTTAAAAAGGCCTTGTGGGGTGGGGGACTAAATATAGTCAGTAGTTCAAGTCGAGTCAAGAGTCGAGTCAGAGGCAGTCCGAAACAGAGTCGCGTTCAGACAATTACTGCAAGACATTGGAATAGTAATAGTAGTCGAGACTACATTGTTCTCTCTGCTAAGCCTGATTGTTCGTACTAACACTTTCTACCCCTGTGTATATATTCCCGTTTGTAATATATCTGTGTTATTCCATATCCGCCTTCGAGTTCTTCTTTATTGGTTCTACCTTGGACTATCACCGTGGTACAAGGAACAGGACCATAACACTAATTTGAAAAATACGAATGCTATCCAGACATGTTTTGCAGACCTCGAAGAAATATGAGCAAAGTGGACAAGTCAGGGCTGCCAGGCTGTTTTAAATCATGGATATACCAGCATACCATTCTGCCAAAGATGCTGTGACCACTGATGGTATATGAAGTGGTATTGACTACAGTTGAGAAAATGGAGAATGAGCGGATATTTGAGATGTTTCGGCTTACTGAAGAGTCTAAGCAGTACAGCTTTGTATGGAGTTTCCAAACGCATTGCAACTTCCCTTCAGAGGATTAGTTGAAGAGTTTAAAGTGGCGAAGACGAGGGAGGTAATCCTATATAGGTATTCAAACGATCCTAAAGTCACAAAAGCAGGAACAGAGGTACTAACTGAGAGAAAGCATAAGGCATCATACAAGCTCAGTACAGCAGAACAAAGGTTAGGACGGAAAGCGTTAGTAGGAACAGTAGCAGTAGGCAGATAAGCCCTAGGTTATTTTTCCAATCCACGAGAGAGGGGAAAAAGAAAAGAACATGAATACTGAAAATACGGAAATTAGATCCAGTAAGGTGGTGGCCTTAGGTCAACAGGGGGCCTGGATGAAATGGGGAAACCTGGAAAAAAAAAGGTAGATTTCTTGGACAGATCTCTGATATACTAATCCCAGGAATACAAGTTTCCTTGTGCTAGCAGTGTATTATACACTGCCCTGCCCGGCAAACCTCCACACGTGGAAAAAGAGCGAGTCTCCACTTTGTCTATTTGTGCCAGAAGAGAGGATCCTTCCAACACATATTGAGTAGTTACCCCAAATCGCTTAATCGTATGGATGGCTACATGATAAAGTTTTAGGAGTCCTTGCAGTTATAGTTTCAAGGAGTCTAAAACAAAACAGATATGAGCCAAATAAAAAGACGATGAATTTTGTCAAAGCCGGAGAAAAGGTAAAGAAGAAAAAATCTCTCCTCAGCTCTTCTCCGGACTGGCAATTGAGAGTAGACGCAGACAAGCAGATTAAATTCCCATTGGAAATTATATAAACTAAGCTTCGTCCAGACATGATTATTTATTTTAAAAAGACTAAGCAAATCATCAATGTTAGAATTAACTTGGGAAGAAAATGTGGACGAATCCCACGAAAGGAAGCTTGGAAAA